AAACTGTTGAAGAGTTTTTACCAATCTCACGTATTTCTTGATCTTTTAAAAAAATCCTTTAGTAAAAAAGAACATTCTTTCTCTAGTATTCCACCATAAATTTCTGGGACATGATTGCAGAATTGAAATATTCTAGCACCATTTTCAACACCTCCACCTTTTGGATTATATGCTCCAAAATATAATCTTCTAATTCTTGCAAAAGAAATAGCTTGAGCACACATAGGGCATGGCTCAAGTGTCACATACATATCAGCATCACAAAGTCTTGGGGTCGTGAATAATTTACATGCTTTTCTTATTGCCAACATTTCTGCATGTGCTGTTGGGTCATTAAGCATATTATATGCGTGAGAAATAACACTGCCTGAATTTACTATGACAGCTCCTATTGGCACCTCACCATTTTTTTGAGCAATTTCTGCTTGCTCTATAGCTAGCTTCATGTAGTGACAATCAAACATTTATCTAGCTTTATTGTTATTTCCACCACTCNTTATCCGATTATGAGGTGTACTATTTGGATTTTTACCATCACTCACTATTGAGTTATGGAGTGCACTATTTGGATTTTGTTTAACTTCTTGTGGAAAAGGCTGATTATTTTCGGTTTCCATATCAAATATCATATCAACAATGGTATCTCTTTCTATCTTATCGAATATTTTTTTTACATGTTCAGGATCTATAAAATCTTTATCACCGTCCATACAAAATATGGCAATAATAGTATAGTCATTAATTATATCTAATAATTCTTCTACATATTCAGGATCTCCGAATACGTTATCTACATCCAGCACCATGTCAATAGCATTATCCCTTATTGTATTTATTTCTTCTTTTTCATGTTTAGGATCTTCAAATGCTAGATCATCTTCCGTATCACGTGCCATATCAATATCATTATCCCTTGTTGTTTTTCCATATGTATGATCCTCAAGCACTTGATCATTTTTAACTACAATTTTCTCCCTTATCATACCTACCATATCGCTTCTTTAGTGAAAAATTCAACACACTTATTGTTTCTTATCAAT